AATGCCCCTGCTCATTCCCCAGATCTGCCCCCCTGTGAATTTTTCTTGTTCCCTAAACTGAAAAGGCCCATGAAAGGACGACGTTACGCTACGATTGACGAGATAAAGACGGCATCGAAGGAGGAGCTGAACAAGATAAAAAAAAAATGATTTTTTGAAGTGCTTCGAAGATTGGAAAAACCGTTGGCACAAGTGTATAATATCTCATGGGGATTACTTTGAAGAGGACAAAATAGATATTCATGAATAAATAAATAATTTTTGAAAAAACACAAAATTCGCGATATTTTTGAGCACACCTCGTATTGCTGAAAATAATGTTGGATTTGTAAAAGAAATAAATATTCAACATCGCATATTCCCAAGGTTTATAGAAGAAAAGGGGATGAGAAGAGCATAATCACTTGCTTAATGACGAAGTTGGTTCAATTTTCTGGGCTGGCGAAGATTTTAGAATACATTTCCATAATTTTATCTATAAAACAGCTTAACATTAAAATGTTTTTAAATTGATAATAATCATAATTAAAACGTGCTGAATAGTTTTATGTCGAATAAATGTATTTTAGTTTCCAAAAAAAAAGTTTAAATAATGAAAATAAATATTATTTTTTAACAAAAATTTCTTTAGCTGGCAACTCTAACTTTTGGTGTCATGCAATACCAAGGGATAAGTGAATAATGTCAAAAACGTTAAAAATTATCAAATTCTAAGGGAAAATTAAAGTTGTAAAAATTCGATTTTGGAAAATGGCGGAACCTCGTCTTATGAGAAAATCGTGTTTAATAATTCGAAGCATTGAAAAAGTGTGCAGTGGGATATTGTGGACAGAAATTTGAAGAAAAAAAATTGTATAAATCTTGGAAAATTCTTATTTTAGATACATTGTTTTTATATTTTAAGTGCCACAGCGATTTAGAAATGCAAGATACTCACGCAGAACATCCTTCCACTTCAGTCACCCTGTATAATTTAGTGGCACAACGAAATAGTAAGTTGCAACTTGTCGTTCGTTAAGAGCACATTTATGGCTTTGTCCCAATTTTCAATGTTGCAAAACGCACATTTGCATGTAATGAGACCGGAATACCGGGAATTTAAAAGCAACGCAAAGACAAACAGACAGCAAACGATTGTGCTAAATATTCTTTTTGACGTTTTGCATTTATGTATGTATGTTCGTATGTATGTACGGGTATGCAATAATATATTACAGTTTGAATACCAGTATAGCGGCAGGTAGTGGTGAAAAACCCGTAAGCATGAGCGGCGGAAAAGAATTTTGTGCTAATCCAAATATGGATGAGCGTACACGACGCTAACCCGCAAACCAGTAATTTGAAGAAAATACAAATAAAAAAAAAAAAAAAAAATTAACCAATTACAACGCTAAATACTGAAGTTTTCGCATGCGTATGGGGTATAAAATAAACACATTCACACACACACTCGACACTCCTGCGGCCATGACAATTGGATATTTGCGATTTGCACAATACATACATATATGTACATATTTGCAAACTTGAAAAACCGAAAATCGTAAAAGCGAGGTAAACCAGCCGGTCAAGCCAGAGCCCAGACCACTAACAGTCACAACGACGCTGCAGGCATTGACCGCTGAAAGAATATCGCTTTTTGATCGTAATTTTGTGATGGGAAAAAAAAAAATAAAAATAAAAATAAATAAAATAAATGTGTATAATAAAAGTAAAAAAAAAACACCAGCAGCAGCAAATCTCAAAAATGTCGCTTATTGGCTTTAAGACGTACAGCATGCAATAAACTGAAACACAAAAGAAAATCAAGCAACAACTCCTCTCCTACTCAACAATCAAGTAACCCACTCTCGGCCATTATCACTGCTGATAAACGAAAAAAAGAAATAAAAATAATGGAAAAAACTGGTTTCGCTGCTCACCAAATCAACGTTAAAGAGAACTTTTTGCTGTCATTTGCAAAAATATTAAATATTTTTTTTTTTTTTTGAAACTTAAATTCTGCGTTAGCAAAGCTAATTAAAGGGTTAAATATACAGACATATATATGCAAGTAAATAGGTGTAACAATAATGCCATTAAACAGCTTAAACTGTTTTAAGTTCATCCAAAACTTATTTTTCTTTCTTCTTTCTGAGTCTTTAGCTGTGAAAGTAAAGCAAGATTATCTATGTTTGTAGCAACGAAATGCCGGAATGCAAAATAAATTTCATGTTAATTTGAAATATCAGCAGCCGAGATGGTGGTTTTCGAACTACTAAATCAATCAATGATTTTTTTTAGCATTCTTAGAAAAAATGTATATCGACTGTAAATATTTACTCCATTTTCCAAACAAAATTTGCGCTTCCTAAAACAAAATCAAAAGCAATAAATAAATAATGGAATGTCATAACATCGTGGGTGATGTGTATTAAGGCGCGAAAGCAAAACTTTGTATTAAAAAACACAAAAACTCAAAAAGTAAATAAAATAATTAAGTAAAATAATATTAAAAATTATTAAATAAAAATAAATAATAAAGAAATAAATAAAACAAATAATTAATAATTATAAAACAAGAATAAAAAGAAAAAAATTAATAAACAAAAAAATAAAATATACAAAAAGCAAATAAAAATAAAATAAATATAATACAAATAAAATAAAAATAAAAAAATTAAATAAAATATCTGAAAAATAAAATAAAATATAAAAATTAAATAATTATAATAAAAAAAAATAAAAAAGAAAATAAAATAAAATATCTAAAATAAAAATTAAATAAATTTAAAACCTTAACAGTAGTAAAATTTAGATATAAAAATGAAATTAAAAACTTAAAATTTAGATAAATAATAATAATAATTAAAGAAATAAATAAAAAGTAATTTTAAAAATATAATTACTTAATTAATTAAACAAAATAAGAATAAAATATATACAATAGAAATAAAATAAAATAAAAAAATTAAATAAAAATATAATAAAAATTAAATTAAAAATAAAATAACTATAATAAAAATAAAATAAATATAGAAAAAAATTAATAGTAGTAAAATTTGTAAAAATGATATTAAAAAGAAACGTAAAATTTAAATAAATAATAATAATAGTTAAAGAAATAAATAATAAAAAAATAAATTTAAAAAAATAAGTATTTAATTAATTAAACAAAATAAGAATTAAATAAATACAATAGAAAAAAATATAAAAAAAATATAAAAAAATATAAAAAAATAAAAAAATTATTAAAAATAAAAGTAAAAAAAAATAAATATAATAAAAATAAAATTAATATAGAAAAAAATTAAAAACTTAATAGCAGTAAAATTTATAAAAATGATATTAAAATGAAACGTAAAATTTAAATAAATAATAATAATTAAAGAAATAAATAAAAAATATATTTAAAAAATAATAATTATTTAATTAGTTAAACAAAATAAGAATAAAATAAATACAATAGAAAAAAAATTTAAAAAAAAATTAAAAAATATAAAAAAAAATGTATTAAAAATAAAAGTAAAAATGAAATAACTATAATAAAAATAAAATAAATATAAAAAATAGTAATAAAATTTATAAAAATGAAATTAAGTAAACGTAAAATTTAAGTAAATAATAATAATAATAAATTAAGTTAAATTTTTTAATTGCGGTCGGGAATGTAAATTATATATAATAAAAATTATTAAAATAAAATAAAAATTATTAAAATAAAATAAATATATTAAAAATAAAATAGATATACAAAAAAATTTAAAACCTTAAAAGAAGTAAAATTTATAAAATTAAATTGAAAAACTTAAGATTTAAATATATCAAAACTGGTTATAATTAAAATATAAATAAAAATTATTATTATTAATAATAGTAAGTAATAAGAACCCAGAAATTTTACATATATTAATGACTCTAGATGAATAATGATACTTTTGCATTGGAAATATGTATGTACATCGTACGTACAAAATTAAAACCTTCATAGTAGTAAAATTTATAAAAATGAAATTAGAAAACGTAAAATTTAAACATATATATAATAATTCAATAAATAAGTAAAAAAATAAATTTGAAAAATAAAAAAAACTATATTTATAAAAAAATTTAAAACAAAAACAGAAATAAAATAAATACAATAGAAATAAAAAAAATAAAAAATAACAATAAATATAATAAAAATAAAAAAATATATATATTAAAAATAAAATAAATATAAAATAAAAATTAAAACCTAAGTAATATTAAAATTTTTAAAATTAAATTAAAAAACTTAAGATTTATACATATATACAAAAACTAGTCATAATTAAAATATAAATAAATAAGTAAATAAATAAAAAATGTAATAATAATCAAAGCAATAATAATAAGATCCATTATACAAGAAGTAAAATATTTGAAAAAAAAATACATATATAATGCATACTTCATATAACACCTGATAGTGAAATATATATGTACATCAATGGTAAAGAAATCCCAATTGCAATAAAAAAAAAATCAGCACATACATATGTTAATATGTACTATTTAGGTGCACGTGAAGAGGACAACAAAAAGGAGTAGGGAGTTTTAAAACGTAGCAAACTGGTTCTAAATGCCACAAAATACAAAGAAGCGCCATTTGTAGCTGAGGAAATACAGGAATAAGTGTACATATGTATAAGTACATACACAGAATTGAAGCACGAGATTATCAACTTAGTTACACCATATATATATACATGTATGTATTATGTTTTCAATAATAAATATATACTTTTGCAGTCGTATTATCCATTGTTGGCTTAAGAGGCTAGTAGATCACGCTGATATGCTTACATACATATATTTATGTATGTAGTTTCATATGTATTTGTTGAAACTGCAAGCGTAATGCTCGAAAGTTTATTGAATGCAAAGCAGAAGAGCCACGAGTGCGTAAGAGCTTGTAGAAACTTGTTATTTACTACATTTTTTTAATCGCATAGATAATCAAATTATCTAAATTTGCCTACGTAAATTAACATGCTTACCTGATAATATGAATCCGCCATGTTAACAGTATTGAAGATCAAAAAAGACGTTTCGTGGTTTGTTTCGTTAGCTATATGTAATGCACGTCGTAATTGGTTCTTTTTTACTTTATCTTTATCTAATAAATTCAAACAGTAATGTTCGCTAAATAAAAAATTGAAAACTTTTAAAAATCTGTGTGTGTGTGTGTTATTTTCACTCTTATATATATATATATTTAGTATTTTTGCGACATAAGTTTTGGAAACGGTTTCGGCGCACTGAGTATTTTACTATATTTCATATTATGTCAATTACCACACATTAAAACTCAAAAATATTATTTTTGTAGTTTTTCTTCAACACAAACAATAAAATTTAATCGTTGCACGTTGGGAATACGGCTACAATCTGAAATTTGAACAAAAATTTCTGGTAAATTATTTCATTATATTGCAATAAAAAAATTGTAGATACGTAGATACATTAAATAAAATAAATACCAAATTAACAATTCATACATCCAATTATATCTTATGCTCAACACAAGGGGAACGTAAAGATAATTTACTCAGACGGTCCACTACCGTAGCGACATACTGCAGCACAGAGTCTACATCCAACTATCTAAGCATCCCACGGACAGACAGACACACATTGCGATCTCGCGATTCGATAATTGCTGTCAATTGCATTTTTCTATGGATTTAATTAGAACGCGGTGAAGCGCTGGCACGGTATGCCAAAAAAAAATTATAGTCGCAAGGAGAGAATGACTAGAACGGTGTGCAATCAAAGCACAGCAGGCAGCGCCGGGATTCGGGTGGGGAGTGTAATGCCTCTTTTATGTTCATACATATGTATATAAAAGAATTGATTGAAATAAGCATAGTCAATTGGTAATTGCACACTACTTTATTGATAATTTTGCTACGTTTTAAGAGGTTATGACTAAATTGTTTATCTTTATGGGCGTTGGTAACTAATTGCGTTGTCACTAATTAGGTAAAAATAAATAACAGCTTGGTGTGTCTAAGAAACTGGATTAGATAAATATATCTTATGACGATATGTAGGGTACACTTTATGTGATTGTGTATGATTGCGAAATTTCCTTAATTGGTGAGGAAGTAGTAAACAAACAGCACACTTCTCATGGAAATTTAGAAAAGTCACAGTATTAATATGTGTTGAAATTTTTTTTCTTGCAAACTCTAGAAAAATTTCATTATCATATAGGCAAAAAAAAAAATATATTTGTTTATTGCTACGCATACTGTTTATGGTAAACACACTTCTTAGTTGTAGCCAAACTATGTATGGACAATCTTAAACACTCTTCTTACTAACGGGCAGAATATAATATTCTCACATACAAATGTTTATTTAAATAGATTCATACGTATTTGATTATTACCTATTAATTATTTCACTATAGCGAGTGAAGCGCGTTGTGTGGATCTTTCCAAAGTATATAAGTAAAACAACTTTTCAACACAAATTGAAATTTAGTTATTGGAACAGCTGAAGGGACACGCATACAATTGAACATACATACATATGTATGTATATATAAGAATTTTGCGAAATTTACTAAAAAAAAAAACCAATTCCAAGAGGCAGACATGCAGTTTAGCCTTCATAAAGATCCAATCTACAAAATTCTGTTCATGAAAATAGTTGTTGATTTAGTTTGTATGTAATATTTGCCGCACAGCATTTGGTGATCCAAGGCATGGAGATTTTTTGTACTTGCTCACAATAATAGCCCCTGTTCAAAACCCGCAATATCAAGTTCTTTTCACTTCGCAATTATTTCACTAAATACTTTTACGGAACTGTATTATATGTTTGTTTTTAAATGCAAATTGCCTCGCCGTAACAAATTACTATACACGAGCAACCGTGTTAATTTGTTTTTAAATTAGCCGAAATTTTTAGCAAAGTTAATCAAAAATAATAAGTTTTAAATGGAAAAGAAAATATTAGGCACAACAGCTCAACAACCGACAACCAAATTCTTGTCGCTTGTTTTCGCCGCAAACGAAGACAAGCAGTGCTACCAACAAAACCATTGCAAATTGAGTGCCACCACATCGATCAAATATTAGCGATTATAACCAAGTTTTATTTGATGATTATCAAACGCTGTAAAAAGATGAAAATCACTGAACCGATTTAAATTCTGCAGAATAAAACCCGAAAAAATGAATACTCTAGTTACGCTTAACCAGCATAGTAAAATTAAATAGTAAGCTTGTATAGAGCTGATTCTGGAAAACATACAGCCAATCATGTTAACCCCGCAACATTAACCTAATAATACTACTAATGAAGTGCTCATTTTTGTTACTTTTTAACATATCAGTAAGATTCTTTATTATTCAATTATACCATTACAAGTTTCGTTTTTAAACAGCGGGCTTTTTTGGTAACGAGCCAAATGCCGATATTACTGTACCTTTTGTACCGGTAACGGTGGTAGTTAATGTTGGCGGTATAGATTTAACAGCAGCGGCTGGTTGATCCCATTTCGATTTTCTAAAATAAAAAATTTAATTTAAATTTTATTTAATTTAACACAACATTTAACAGAAAAGAGAAGCGTTTACCTTTTCTTAGCTTCCTCTTCAACTTTTCGGGCCAAAGCTGTCGCTTGCTCTATTTTATCTGTATCTTTGCGTTCTTTTTGACGTTTAAGCATTTCATTCTTTTGAATACGTGCCAATTCTTCATAATAGCTTTCCGGACCCCACTGTAGCGGATCATAAATCTCAGGCGGATAATTAGTGCCAAACTCATTTATGTCACAATATTGTATTAATTTTTCATAAATGCTGGGATTACGAAATTCCTTACGTCCTTGTATAACACGATTCATATCCATATTAGTAGTTTCCATTTTATCATAGAGATGTTTAATTTTTTCTACCAATTCAGCTGATGGTTTGCCCTTCGGCTCTGGTGGTAATGAGAAGCCGTAATGCGCATATTTACTAAGTTTATCCACTTTTTTTGGTGATTTTGCATCATTAGCTAATTCAGGTTTCTCATCTACTTCCATCGGCAGACTGTTACTGTTATCTCTTGATGTTTGGGCATTACTATTTGCGCTGGTCTCCCCTTTTTCTTCTTCGATCTCAGATTGGCTACTTGATTCAGAAGCATCACTTTCATCTTCATCGTCATCATCGGAAATCACAGTGTCGTCTTGATAGCTCACCAAACGTCGCACCGACTTTTTACGCTTCCTTCGTTTCTTTTCCTTTTTATTGGGTGATTTTGCAAATTTTTCTTCTTTTGGACTTGGTTGTTTTGGTATGATTACCTACAATTGCATATAGAGACGAAAGTTATCTTAGTTAAATAAATGTAAAATTCTACTTCTCAATACCTGTGAAGCTTGTGAATTCGAGGAATCTGGGCTTTCATCTTCTATTTCCGCTTCATTCTCAGAGTCTGTGTATTGTGCAGTTAGGCTTTGCAAAGCTTTGCTCATTTTTGCCAATGAAATATTATAATTATTAGTTTTTCTTCATAAACTCTTTTTTTTTTGTTTTTGGTTTTTTGTCGGAGCGATTTGCTCACATAACCCAGGTTTATATCTGGGTTTGTTTGTATTCACGAGTGTAGAACAATGTCTGTTGGATAGTTTTGTTTCTACTTCGTTTTGTATTTATTTAATTATGTATATTTAGGTATTGCTCAAACAAAATTCACAAATTCTATTAAAACATGTATTTGCCTGAAAATGCGAAACAAAATATCAGCTGTGCAAACTACTCGCATGTCAATTTATCACTGAACGTACTCAACTGGATTAGAATGTAGAGCTACCATATCAGGATTTCTGTTTTAAAAAATTTCAACAAATAATCTATTTCACGGGATTTTCTAAATTGGTCTCAATGATTTCCTATATCGTTTAAGATTACTACAGTGAATTAATTGCATAGGATTTACTTAAGCATTGTTAATTCAACATTCAACAAAAGAAGAAATCATCTAAGCAACAAACTTCATTTTTAAAGAATTCGCCATAATATTATTTTATGGTTTATTCGCGAGACAATTTAGTTTTTTTTTTTTTCAAATCAATGAGAGAATGTTTTAGATCGCTTGAATCGAATCCTCCTTAAGAGAATAATCAAAGAGGAATCAAGAGATCCATGAGCATCACCCAACACTTCAGGATGTGCAGCGAATTTAGAGCACGGTAGTGACAACGTCTTAAGCGGAGCAAAACGGACTAAGCTGTGTGTTTGCACGAATATAACCTTCGGGTTTGTAGACAGTTGCATGGTAAGTGCGTTTAAAAAAACTAAAAGCAAATCTTGGGACTTTTATTTAACAATCCACTGTATCGAAGGATTTGGGAAATCATCTAATCTAATTTAGCAAAATTCGTTACAAGTTTTTGAACATAATTTTTTTTTAGACTTTAGTACGGCAGCTACACAACGAACAGTTGTTAAGCAACAACAACAGTGTCTGCATTTCATCTTATTGACGTAGACAATTTCTTTAATTGCAATAACTATTTGTGTTTACATTTTCAAGAAAAAATACAGACAGCGCAAAATGAGTGTATCTAATGAGGATTCTAAAAATGAGGACCGAATACAGAAACGTGTCAATAAAATACTTGAAACGAGATTGGAAGCTGATAAAGTAAGTAGCTAGCTAGCCAGCTCTCTTTGGCAAAAATTTTCACATTTCGCCTGTAGGACACATTGGACGCTCTAGGTAACCTCTCCAACTTCTTTACGGAAAATACTTTGCAAAATCGACGTAACCTACGCAGCCAAATAGAACGTCGAACGGTCGGTATAAATGATAATTTCCTCGAAGCATTTCGTAAAGTGAAAAATACACTCGATGCTGTGTGCGAGGACTTAGATACCATGGCGAAATCGGTAAAGACAATGAAATCGAATTTGGAATCTTCAAAAGCCTTAACTCATGACTTAATTACACAAACGAATTCTTTGGAAACTGAACGTGAACGTCTGGAAGTGGACCAACAAATAGCTGAAGCTTTTTTGGCACGCTTCCAACTTACCGTACCAGAACATCAAATTTTATATGGGACCACAAAAGATGCTCAAATTGTGCCCGAGTTCTTCACTGTACTTAATCGTGTACAGAGTATTCATGCGGACTGTCGTGTTTTAATGCAATGTGGATATCAAACTGCCGCCCTGGAAATAATGGAAGAAATGACACTGCATCAGGAAGGCGCCTTCGAACGACTCTATCGATGGACACAAAATCACTGTCGAAATTTGGAAAATAACGAAATTGGTCCGTTAGTCATTGAAGCAATGAGTAGACTGCAAGATCGGCCGGTGTTATTCAAGTATGAGTCGGATATAAGCTTTAATCATTTGAATTAGATATTGTTTAAAATATGATGCGCTTTTTAGGTATGTAATTGATGAGTACGCCATAGTGCGACGAGGTGTATTGGTGCGTCTTTTTATTGAAGCACTCACAGAAGGAGGCGCCCATGGCAATCCAAAGCCTATTGAAATGCATGCGCATGATCCGAAACGTTATATCGGTGATATGTTTGCCTGGTTGCATCAAGCGATACCGAGTGAAAAGGAAAATTTGTCTATGCTACTAAAGAAGTGCGATAAAAATGGTAAATAGTAATATTTTTCATAAATCTCAGACAAAATACGATTAAATATTTTTTGTCGTAAATTTCAGATTTGTCAGATCAAACACAGACTGCACTGGCCTATATAGCCGATGGTGTTTGTCATCCTTTGAAAGTACGTGTGGAAACTATATTGACTTCGGAAAAGGACACTATCGTTTTATTTGCAATATCAAATTTACTACGATTTTACCAGCAAATTATAAAACAGGTACCTAACAATATATATAAATTATAAACTAGTGCTGGTGACAAAGTTAAATTCTCTCAGGTCGTCAAAGGCGGCACACTTGAACAGACCCTTATTGATTTGCAAAAGACCAGTGAAGAGATTTACTTGAATTCACTTGCCAATCAAGTACGCAGTATATTGCAACGCCCAGCCAGCGCTAGCTTAGGCATCGAACCGCCGCAGCGTGACTTGGTGCCACCAACGAGCGTAGGACGACTTTTAAATATGCTCAAAGAAATACTATCAGTGGCAACAATGGTCGATGGACGCCAAGCGGATATTACAAAGATTGTCTCCTGCGTAATCGATCCCCTATTGCAATCCGTACAAGAGTCGGCGTCACATTTACCCATTATCGATATGGCAGTATATCTACTAAATTGTTTCTATCATATGCAAAGCTCCCTGGCTGTCTACGAATACATGGACGAACGAGTTGAACGCCTACAAGCACAATCCGATGCACAAATCGACACACTCATATCGGAGCAAGCATCGTCGTTGGTGGCTAATCTTAATTTGGGGCCCATCTATACTATATTACAAAATAATCAAACGAAAATTGAGGCAAATCTGTTGAAAATCTTCATGAATAAAATGGATGCATTTTTGGAAATGCCAGAGATTTTGCTACTACCGCAGGTGCAATTGCTAATGTCCAGCGCACATCGCAATGCTGTGCAGAAGCGTGCTTTCAACGTTATCGTTGCTATATATAAACAAATATACGAACGTGTACACGATCCGGCGAATGGGTTTGAGCAACCAGAGGCTGTTTTTAACAAAACACCAGAGCAAGTTAGCAAAATATTGGCTGTTTAAGTGAAGTTATCTATGGTATTTTAGCGTTATTCTACTTACTGTCTAAAAAATTATACAGTAACATATATTCATACATAAATGGTAAATAATTTGTAGAGTGGAATTTTTCACGTATTACATTCCGTAATCTGCGATTTTTGTTTTTATTTTTGCAGTCAGTCATTCAAAGTTAAACACAAGCGTCTTTTCGCTTTCAATTACTTGCAATCGCACATGAGTTTGTACAAACATCCATATTATATGTATATATATATATATATATATATATGTGGATAACTACAATAACAATGCATAAATACGCCGACTGTAAATAATACACGCCTTCATATCGCTCACATTAAGATTGAGTCAAACGGTTACTAATTTCTTATTCAAATCTTTTATTTTATTTTTTTTTTTTTACTAGGCAAAATCACTGTTATTGTGTTTATTTTATGGATGATGTGCACAACAATAGTGCAAATGAGAATTGAATAACGAAACGAAAGAATTGAAAGGCGAACGCAAAAGAGCTGGCGTGAACTAAGGAGGCTGTGTACATTAGACGGATACTAAACTGTTAGTATGTTTGGCACTTTGTCAGCTGTCGTCGGTTTAAAGCGCGCTCCACAAATTTGTTCGATTTCTCGAAGTGCTCTTATCACACGCAAAGAAAAAGTTGATATCAACAAAAAAAAAAAAAGTATAGAAACTGAGGGGAAGGAATTTTTTTGTATTTGTAATTTTCTCACCCAAAAAATATTCATTTTTATGTACTCGTACTACCCAGTGAACGATTGCGCAAATTTAATTGGGTTTTGCTGATTTTGTGTAAGTTAATAACGAATAGTCACTAAGCAAACAAAACTTTTTTGTGTTTGTCTGTTTTTGACAAATTCTTTGTTAAAGTACACAGCGCTTCACGATTTTTTTTTTGTTGGCTGCTTGTGACGTGCGAATATCTATTTTTAATCGTTTTTTATTCTTTAGATGTTTTACATATCTCTTAACGGATATCTTGTTTTGCGCGATAAAAGAGGAAATGTGTTTATGAAGATTGTTTATACACGAATAAAAATCGGATTGCGTATGAGGAATGTGTGATTGTATGATAGAGCAACGTGCCTGTTTAAAAAGGGCTAACGCTTAAACTGAACGTTTTAGTTTACTTTGTTGTCACTATAGTAAAAGTATTAAATTTAAGCAAACAAAAAAAATTTTTTTTCTTAACTGTGCTTCAATTACTTAATATTTTATGTACAACTATTAAGCGAGGTAAATTGTGCATACATATTGTAAGCGTTAACTAGCTTGTGTCGTTCAACTATTTGCCTTCAATGTTGTTACTACAAATAAAGATTAATAGCAAAAAATATATATCGAATTTGTACACCACCAAGTTAGCAACTTATTATTATTATTAATATTACGAAATACATATAATATACGCTGCATTACATTGCAAAAAAGAAATTGCCGAATAAGTCTATATATGCATATTTAGTTGTATATGTGTGTATATGAAGTGGCGTCTCGAACCACGAAATGTGAAAACCAAAATATTCAGTGTCCGATTGCATTCTGAATTGGAGACACGTTTTAATTGTATGTAGTTCAACCACTTTGTTGTATACTCGAAATCAGGATGTTTACGACATGGTAACGGTAGAACGTTGGAAAAGTTCAAGCGTTAACGCGCTTAAAAATGCTGGTAAAGACTTATTTCCCACCAGCTGACTCTCTATTAGCGGTTTCAATGTCACCGAATAGGGTGTCTCCAACATATCCAGTGCATGATTTGACTCGTTCAAACGGAAGTTGAGGTAATCATCAGGACTTTCGGCATACATGCTGGATAGTCTAAATAAAAAATAAAAAACAATTAAAAAATAACAAGTGTTAAATTTGCTACGATTAAATATCAACTACTGCACGCACTTGTAATTTGTATTCAATCCTAAACGATCGATTCGATAGCCAAACAACAAATAGCAGACTTCACGAAATTCCATGCTGGCTGACTTGTAACATTCCTTCATCTTCTTCATCTTCGAATTGGTGGCATCAAGTTCGGCACGCAACTGATTCATCTCTTTGATATTTATAGTCATATTTGTTGTCTCATTAAGACGTGCTTGTGTGACTTCATTATCTTCTTCTAATTTTTTATTGCGTCGCTTCAGACGTTCAATCTGCGGGTAGGAAATTTTTTTTTTTTAATAATTTTCTTTTTTATTACCTAATTTTGTTGGCGCCAACATACTTCCGCTTGTAATTTTTCAATTAAATTATTGGAATTTTCGTAGGCCTCTGCTGCGGGATTTTGTGCAAAATGTACTACTTTAAATTTACCCACATTAAAGTCACCCTTCAAGCAACGATGTTCCAATTCTAATTCTAGCTCTTCTTTGCGTCGGCGCAAACGTTCATTTTCTAGACGCATTGTATCTAGTTCTTTTTTAGTATGCTCGTATACTTCGGTGCTGACGACATTTTCAATGGTTTGATCGGCCACTGGCAATTGTTTGGCGTTAGTCAATTCTTTCTCCAAATTACTGCACATATCCTTATAGCCTACTAAAGTCTTCTCGAGCATGTCGAGGCGCGTGCGTAATTGCACATCGCCAGCGGCGCCATCAGCTGCGTTATTCGCGGTGGAGACTGTAGGAAAATTAAATTAAATTTCAATATAGCGATAATATAATATATTTTGTGGAATGGTTTGCTTACATGTAAGATCTTTTTCGAAATTCTCCAAAAGCTGTTTATAACAATCTCGTTCCTTAGAGACAAAAAACAATTTGCGTTGTATGCGGTCTTTAAAGTTTTTATGTTTCTTCAAAGCTACATTGAGTTCCTCTATGTTTTTAACATAAATTTCGCATTTCTAAGATGATTTTTTTTTAAATATTGGTAATTATTTTTTATATTTCAAATCTTACCTGCTTATAATCCAACAATTCTGATTTCACAGACTTTGTTTCGGACTGCGTATTGCGTTTCTCACTTATCATAATTATATCATTTTGTAGCAGCTGTTCAATTCGAGAGCGCAGCGCCATTGGGCTAACCAACATATTGGGCAAACAATGATCTTGTGCTACTTTTATCCACTCCTTCAACTCTTGTTCCATATGTGAGAGCTTCACCTGCAAAGCCACTGCTTCATTGCGTCCACCCTCCTCACGCGCCAAACGTTTCTTCAAATCATGCACTTGTTCCTCTAGTAATAACTTATTCCCCAGTAATTCTTGTAGATTTTTGTTATTTGTGCGCAAACGCTCCAGCTCTTTATCCATATCAGGTATGCTAAGCAATCGAGTTTGTGATTTCTTAAATAAAAAATATTTATATTAACAATTCAAAGATATGTGCATATGTATGTTTAATTATAATTATAACACCAATTATATTTACCTTGGTAATTTCTTTCCAGTCTTCATAAGAAGCAATTTGATACTCGAGTTCTTTAATTCGTGAATTAGCCACCTCTAATTCTTGTTGTTCTTTTTCATGTTCTATTTTCAGTGCTTCATACGATGATGTATGGGCTTTATACTCATTTAGTAAGCTTTTTAAATTGGCCATTTCGTCAGTTACTAATTCCAGTTCCTATAACAAAATCATAACACTATTAGTACATATTTTTACATTAAATCAGCAAACTATACCATTTCTAGCTTGTCTGTGTGACGACGATATTCACTCAGCTCATTTTCCATACTATTTTGCACTTGTCGTGAATGATCCTCTATTTCGAGTTTTGCGCGTTGCAATTTATGCAACTCCTCTTCATAATGATGTTTTTGTTGCGTTAACTCACGTTGTGTGCGTAACAACTCTTGCTTGGCACCTTGTTCACGTTTACGCACAACTTGCAAATGCTTTTCGACATCTTGTACTTTATTTGACGAAAATTCACACTGTTTCTTTAGCTCACTTACTTTGCTTTCATAGAGCGTTTCAACTTCAGCACGGAGCTTGTGCTGGCGCTCAATTTCGATCTTCAACTTTGAAATCTGAAATGAAAGGATATACATATGTATATTTACATATGTTTACTGCATTATTTTAATTGATATTTACCCGTGATTTGGCTTCGATTAAATCAGCTTTTATGCGACGTGTTTCCCAAGGACTAGATGGAATGCTGCTGATAGAAGCGTTACTTACATTGTCACAGCTGAGTTGAGAATTATCGTGGCGGCGCTTCTTAGGCACTGAAGTGTTTTTAATATTGTACTTGCATTGCATACACATATATAATTACTTTTACTTACAAGTTCCTGAATCATTGTAGGAATCATTTAGGTATTCGAAATTTAGCTTTTTGGGTGCCGAGTGTGTTAAACTATCGTTGAACTTTTCCATTATTTTGTCGAAGTTTGATTTTATATTCTCCATTTTGGTGGAACGGGTGCGTTTTTTCCAAAGCCTGAAAGATTGTTATATGTGCGACTGATTTTAAACTTTTCCCTTCAGTGGTTGTAATATATTTTAATGGAGTGCGATAATCTAAACAATTTACTTTTATGGTATAATTTGTGTAAAATTAATATTGGCAATTTCAAGCTAAACCAAACAATACTAAAAAATTATGGAAGCCGCTTTTCCGATATAAAACGCTAAATTCGGTGTTGTGTAGCCAAAAGTGACGTTCCTCTTTACGCTGATATTCGCATTTTGAGTCTCTGGCGTTTTCCTTTCTTTACACTGCGTTTGGGCTGTTAATTAAAAACGTAATAAACCTTATTTCAATAATACGGCAACCACAATTTTAAGTATGTGTTATGAGTGTTTTTTGTTCGAAATTTTACTAATTTGTTTGTACCGTTTTTAATTTTTTTTTTATTAATTTAAAATATATGTATATGAAGAAAGGAAAAATGGAGAAACAAAAAACATTTCCCTATTTATTTTTAAAAACAAGACACAAACATCAGTCCAAGAATTTCTTTTTCACCATCTTTATTGTACATAAACACAAAGTTTACTAACTTACATCACTCTAAAAACACGTACTCCGCTCTACTCTACTCCGAAGTTTTCATTACCGAGCTCTAAACTCCACTGAATACGCTCATGTGTTGGTTACGTCTTCAGAATGTACTCCAATGTTCGCCTTCGATAATGAATTTTCAATACATGACCTTCAGGAGATGCTTCAGTTCTCGGCCTCTCCTTTTCACCACATTTTCGTACTTGGCATTTACATTTGTTTTAAAGAAGCATAATAATGTGGCAATATACTTTTAATTGTGAATACAAATGGTTTTTTGTGTGTTTTCGTTTTGCCAAGGAAGTCTACGGTTAACCAAGTACCTCTGCCTGGTGATAAGGTCTGAAGATCACCTTACTAATCAATATGTCTACCGCACCTGAAAATCAAGTAGATGAACTGGCCACTTTAAGAGAGGAGATAGAGACACTTCGACAAAATTTAGTTGACAAAAACCGACAACTACAGGATTTGCAAGCAGCTCAACGTGCAACTGCAGCTGCCAATAATAGTGCTAGCAATGGAGTCCCAGCTAACTTTTCTACACCGCATGATAACGATTTAACAAAAGATGAAATTGAACGTTACAGCCGACAACTCATACTTCCTGGGTTCGGTGTTACTGCACAAACAAAATTAAGAAACTCTTCATTCCTGATTGTAGGTATGGGTGGTCTTGGTTGTCCATCATCTCAATATCTAGTTGCAGCAGGCAGTGGTCGCATAGGTTTGGTAGACTATGATTTAGTTGATCGCAGCAATTTACATCGTCAAACGTTACACACAGAATGCACCATAGGCCTGCCCAAAGTGGAATCAGCCAAAAGTGCTTTGTTGCAAATAAATCCAAATTGTGAAATTATTACCCACAAAACTCTGTTGAATAGTGGTAATGCACTGGAAATTATAAAACAGTATGACGTTATATTGGATTGCACAGATAATGTTGTTACACGTTATATGCTCAACGATGCTTGTGTACTGCAACATAAACCTTTGGTATCGGGCAGCGCACTTCAGTTTGATGGTCAATTGACAGTTTATCATTATGGCGAAATATGTCCTTGCTACAGATGTCTATTTCCAGTGCCACCTCCACCGCAGGCAGTAACAAATTGTGGCGATGGCGGCGTAATGGGTGCTATTACCGGCGTTATCGGTTCCATGCAGGCGCTAGAGGCAATTAAAGTTGCTACGGGTGTGGGTGAAACCTTAGCCGGTAGACTACTTATCTTCGATGGTGCGAATGGTATATTTAGAAATATTAAATTACGTGGTCGACGTAGCGATTGCAAAGTTTGCTCAACAAATCCAATGATTACTCAACTAATTGACTATGAATTTTTCTGCAGCATGCATGCTTCTGACGATAACCAAGCGCTACAATTGCTCTCACCAGAGGAACGTATAGATGTGCGTCAATATATTGACATGCGTTCAGAGCCTCATTTATTAATAGATGTGCGACCACCAAATGAGTTTGAGATTTGTCGTCTTCCCTCATCAGTTAATATGCCACTGAAAGATGTATTGGACAATAAATTCGTAGAAGAATTTCAAAATGAATTAGATGATAAGAAATTACCCATCATTTTAGTGTGCCGGCGTGGTAATGATTCGCAAATAGCAGTACAGCACATGTGTAACAAGTATCCCTCACACACGATACGTGATATTGTTGGTGGCCTTTATGCTTGGCATTACCAGATAGATAACGAGTTTCCAATCTATTGATTTTGTCAATAAACGTTATTTACATATAAATGTATGTGTAGAGTGTAAATATATGTATGTAGTTATTTATTAAATAATTAAAAATTTATTTAATTTTTGTCTCAAATCTTAATTATGAGAAAAACGCAGACTAATTGGTTTGAAAAGTAAGAATTCCACGGTTAACTGACCAGCGTTAGAAAATAGACATGTACGGAGTGAAGCGGAGATGTAAATTCATCAAGCGTAATGACATATATACATATCTATATAGTAAACAAATCTTCTTTTCTCAATTAGTACTCAAGGAATTCTGCTTAATGAAGATAAACAACTACGGATCGCAAAATAATGCTAGAGCACCTAGAAGCGATTCAGTTTAAGAGAAATTCTATGATATATACTTGAACCTTATATATCTTATAGGTTTTTAAAAGAATCGGGAGCTATATAAAGAATTGTACTCTGTTCGGAGGGTGCAATAGAATTAATGTAGGAAACAGTTTCCGATCCCGTGAAACCAAATCCTTTTCAACCAGACGAATGCTTTCCTACCGCAAGCAGCTGCTTACAAATGTGGACCGCTTGAACCACCGCATAACCCAGATATTAAATACGCAAGGGGAAAATGGTTATCTGTCGATTTGTCCATTTTGACGCTAAAAACGCCAAACAATAGAGATTCAACTGGACTAAAACAATGGTACGACCTAAAGCCCAGGCTGAGAAACCACTATTACATTCTTCTTCTTTTTCTTTATTTGGGTTGACACCGCTTACGCGATTATAGCGCGGCCTTCCTATCCTCTTTTCGCTATCCGGCGCCAGGTGAAAATACCACCTGAAGCCAGGTCACTATCCTCTGCTTGCACCAGCGGGTACTGCATCGAATACTCTCAAAGCTGTGGTGCTTTCATTTATTCGGACGACATGACCTAGCCAGCGTAGCCGCTGTCTTTTCATTCTCTTCATTCGCTGACCTATATCAATATCATCATTGTTAATGCGCAAAGGATCATAAATCTTTCGAAAAACTTTTCTCTCGAAGACTTGTAGGGCCGACTCATCAGATGTTGACATCGTCCACGCTTCTGCGCCACCTAGTAGCACGGGTATGATGAGCGACTTGTAGGGTATGATTTTCGTTCGCTACTTTTCAATTTCCTACTCAGTCCAAAGTAGCATCTGTTGATTGGTGTTAATGCTGGATCCTAGATAGACAAAATTATTCATGACCTCGAAGTTTTGACTGTCAACAGTGACGTGGGAACCGAGTTGCGGATGCGATGACTATTTGTTTGATGACAGCAGATATTTCGTCTTGCCCTCGTTCACTACCAGATCCAGTCGCTTCGCTTTTTTATCAAGTCTGAAGAAAGCGGAATTCACGGCGCGGTTGTTGAGCTCAATAATGTCAATATCATCGGTGTACGACAGCTACTGTACACTCTGAAGATTGTAACATTCCTATTCAGCTCTGCAGCTCGTATAATAAGTTAAAAAAGTCGCACGGTAAGGAATCACCCTGTCTGAAACCTCGTTTTGTATTGAAAGGCTCGGAGAAGTCCTCCCCGCTACCGACGAAGCTTTTAGTGCTGCTTAAGGCCATTAACAGTCATCATAAGTTTTGAAGGGAAAGCAGACGGCGTAGATGCAGCACTTTTTCGTACTGTCGAAGGCTGCTTTAAAATCGACGAAAAGGTGGTGGTGGTGGTGGATTCTCTTTTCACGGGTCTTATCCAAGTTTTGGCGCATGGTGAATATAATCAGATATGAAGCCACACTGATAAGGTCCAATCAGTTTGTTGACGGTGGGCTTTAGTCTTTCACACAATACGCTTGGCATGACCTTATATGCGATGTTAATGAGGCTTATTTCAGGGTAATTGACGCAGACTGTGGGATCGCCTTTTTTGTGGATTGGCCAGAGCACACTTAGGCTCCAATCGTCAGACATGCTTTCTTCCGACCATATGTTGCACAGAAGCTGATGGCAGTCAGTTCCCGCCGCTTTGTTGTTTTTTAAGCGGGCGATTGTTATTCGGACTTCTTCATAGTCGGGTAACGGAATAACTTTTCCATTGGGCTCATCATCTTCGGGAGTATAATTGTTCCTAAAAATTTAATTTAATTCCCATTATGAAATTTTCTGCCATGATTTAGATATCTGCCGAATGCGAGAAAATTTTGCTTTATTGCCATTTTGCATTATTGCCATATATTTATGTGCATACATATGTATATATATGTATTTTATTGCTTCATATTATTTTCAGGAAATCCCCATTAAGTCATTGCCAAGTGTTGGCATGCCGCAATCTACATTGAGTTGAGTGTTCACGCTATTTGTGCTGTTGACACATGTAAGTGTTGTTGCATGTTGAAGAATTCGAAAAACTAGGAGTTGTTGTTAATTGCAGAAACTCAATTGCTTCGTGAGTGTGCATATTTTTGTTGTGAAATTCCTTTTTTCCATTTAATTCAAACATCCATATATATGTATATGTTGCATACACACATATATGCAATCGCTTCCACATTATGTCCCTCGAAGTGTTGAAGTAATGAACTTCAAGACCAACAAATATGATTTAATCATCAACTGTTGAGTGTAGTTTAATAGCAGAAATATATTTGAGAGCAAAAACAGTTAAGCTAATTTAATGAGTGTGCCTTGCTATGTGGTTGTGTGTGTGAAATATACAGATGAGCAATTCCTGCTTAATTGTTTTTGTTGTACTTTCGTTGGTTGTTTGTTTGTTTTTTTTTTTTTTTTAGCCGATTATAAGCTTTTGTTGACTTGCAAAAACTAATCGTAATTTCCCAGATTCACCAACGTAACGGCATTTTTATTGCTCAACTTAACTGTTCACCTCAAATGTGCGTCACTTTAGCATATTCAAGCACAAAATAACAACACTAACAAGGGCGCCAATTAAATGTAACGATGTCTGTGAATATTTGAAAATAACGGTGAAGTGACTTTTGTGAATTTTCACAAAAAAAGAAGAAAAAAAAGAAAAACAGAAACAAAAACATCAACGAAAATTTCTGCGAAGAGTTGATATTTGTTTACATTTTGACTGTACTCGCATACGTATATATGTATGTCTTATATGTATGTACCTATGTACATATGTATGTGCTTGCGTGCTTCTATGTTTATATTAACCAACCGTACTTGCCATGACCAGCGCTGCTTAATCAGCCACGTTTCTACTTTCATTATCCATTTGGCAAGCCGAGTGAATTATTGTCTCATTGAAGTCAAGTAGTGAAAATTTAATTCCATCAATTAACAGTTGAAGTGTAAAGTTCATTTCACTTTCTACAATAAAAATTTACATATCTACATACATATATAGAAATGTAAGTGGTTTGTGAACTTACAATGTTAGTGGCTGGATTTTTAATGTAAAAATTTTGAAATTTAAAAATATTATGTTCAATATCATATTCAAAAGAATTGTTGCTTTATTTTATTATATATGATTTTAAATTGAATTTATTTTCCTTTTATTTTATTTCATTTTATTTTGCTCCATTTACTTTTTTTTTTTGTATTCTTGTTTTGTCTTATAATTTTAAAAGCGTGTTCGAAAAACAATGGTATATTGAACAAATAATCATGAGGAAATTATAATTCGTTTGCTTGATTTTTTGCTTTCATTTAATTTAATTTGGTTTTAAAATAACTTTAATTCACGTATTACATTTAATACAATTAAGTTAATTTATTTATTCAATTTTTGATATTGTTATTTGCTATATTAATATTATTTAATTTTTGTTTATATTACATTTTTTTTATTTAACTCAATTTAATTTATGTTAATTTAATAAATATTTTACTTTTTTAATTTGATTTGTTTCATTTGACTTAATTCGATTCATTTATTTTATTTTACATTTTTTAATTTCTTTAATTTAATTTTTTTTATTTAATTTTTTTTTTATTAAAAAAAGTTAAATTTATTTGTTTTATTCAGTTTTTTTACTACTTTTATTACGTTATTTAAATTATTTTTTTAAATTTTTTAATTATCATTTTATATTTAATTTTATTAATTTTAATTTGTCTTAATTATCTTATGTTTTTACGTTATTTTGTATATTTTTTTATTTCATATAAATTCATTTTATTATTTTTATATATAGTTTGTTGTTCTTTAATTTTATTTTGTTTTATTTAATTAACTTTTTTTATATAAAAATTTGTTTGAATTTACCTAATTATTTATGTATATTTATTTGATTTTTTTATACGCTTTTTGATTTATTTTATTTAAACTTATTTAAAATTACATTATTATATCAGTTTAATTTTTTCTAGCTTTATTTTATAGTTTTTCAAATGTTTTTATTTTATTAATTTATATTTTTGATTTTATTTATAAAGCTTTTTTTACATTTTTATGTTGTTAAATTTTATTTAAATTTACATACATTATTAATTTTTGAAAGCTTTTATATGACTTATTTATATCAATTTTGTTTTACCTTGTATTTTTTATTATTATTTTATATGCATTTTTTAATCAATATTATTATATTTAATACTATTTTATTAATTAATTTATTTATTTCATATTATTTTGTTCTTTTTAGGCTTTTAGCTATTTGGATTTATTTCATCTTTTTTATTTTAATTTAATTTATACCGTTATATATAATTATATTTTCTTATTTTACAATATTTGATGTTATCATTTGGTTTTTATTTAAATACTAATGTATTTTATTCTATTTCATCTTATATAATTTTATTGTATTAACTTATTATTAAAATATTCATTTAATTATTTAATTTTTATTTTATTAATTTTATTTAATTTAATTAATTTTATTCTAATTAATATTTTTATATTTTATTTAAGTTTTTATAACTCTATTTTCTTTTATTTAATTATTATTATTTTTTTTTTTTGATAATATTTGTTTTTATTTTTTTAACTATTACTCAACTTATTAAATTTTATTAATTTATTTTATTTGTTTTTTGTTTATTTTTTAATTTCTTTCTCAATTTTATTCTTATATTATATAATAAATAATTTTTTGTACCTTATTTAATATTATTAAATTTAATTTTTATTTT